TGAATGGATTTATTGTCATAGCATCGACAATCTCAACATGGCAAGAAGCATTGTCTTCTGATAGAATTTCTGACACAAACAACTATAACCATCCAGATTTTTCATAAATAACGGTGACATGAAAACAAAATTAAAGTTCAACTAATGGTAGAAAAATAATAGAAGAAAGAAAGATATTGAAAGAGAACTCTAATTAAGACTTTGAAACAGAAGAACAAACACATATTCGTAGGTCTTAGAATGAAAAATTCATGAAGGGCGATCCTTTTCTCTATTATCTGCAGAAGAGGATCTAAATGTGGACGAAAAGAAGATGCAACTCACACCCAATACTTCTAGAAGATACCTTCAGAAGTCATGACTGTTGAGTTTGTTTTAAAGGTGAACAACATTCATAAATAAATAATTCAATTAAACACCAAAAGTTTATCTATTCAATAATCTCTATGCAATATATACACGTGAAATGAATACCGATCTGTACGCAAATAATGAAGCTAAATAAAATATACAGTTAAGGATGTGAATGTGGATAAGCTGAAGTATCACCTCTTTAAGTATAAGAGAAGATAACAAGATGATAAATAGGACACAAAAACTCATACGACAAAACGCATGGTCATATGATAGATAGTTAAGTAGATGACGTTGTAATAACCACATTTATTTAAAGGTGCGTATCAAGACAAAGATAATTTTTGTTGGAGTTGTTCAGAAAAACGGCTTCTTCGAATGTTTGTGGGTCTACTATTATGAAATTGGGTCTTATAATTGTTTTTCTAGCCATAGTTATTCCGTTATATTATGATTCTGCTAATCCTGGTTATCTTATATTCCGTGTGATTCATTCTTTGATATTAATTAAGCATACTTTTGTATTAGATACAGATCGACCGATGTTAAGTGCAGAGTGCGGTGCTTTTGAAAGTATGCTGCGAAGTTCACCTCAAGTCGACTATGATCTAAAAGCTGATCCGTTGAAAATAGCAAAGGAAATGCGTGCGTCGTTTTCAATTGATAAAGTTGTTCATCGTCCAGCTGGATGTCAATTCAAAAAACAAATATACGAATACGATAGACAAACTGTTGAAGCCTACTGGATAGACTATCGTACTGGAACAAAGAATTGGGATGCAGATCTGATCATACTTTATCTTCATGGTGGAGGTTATAGAGTGGGTGATTTTCAAAGTAAGTTGGGATGATTAATCGCAAGACTTTACTTATATGAGATTAGCTTGTAGATTTATTCACATATTTCTCTACTTGACTGCAGAGGTATTTTACAAAATATTTTTTTTTATTTTTGAAAATAGAATAGTCTTCCATCTTTCATGAGAGTAAATATGATTGAATTTTGTATTTTTTCAATCAACGATACTTCGAATTTGTTATTCAAGAAAGAATTTCCATTATCTGTTTCAACTTATAGTGGATTCGAATGTCACCTATCTCATATTTTCAATGCAACAATCATTCATTTGGAATATCGTTGTGCACCGGAGCATCCATTCCCGGCAGCTATAGATGATGCTCTCACGCTCTATCGTGCAATTCTTCAGGATGGCATTTCGCCGTCTCGTCTGGCCATTATGGGTGATTCAGCAGGTCGTGGTCTTACTTTACTCACAATACAATCACTTCTTGCTCGTCAATTACCAAAACCTCGTGTTACAATTACTTTATCCACATGGACTGATTTTTCATTATCCGGTGAAAGCTTCACACGTAATCGTCCTCAAAATGTTATTCTTCATGCCGAAGAGTTTCCGTGAATGGTTGAACAAGTCTTGGGTCTGAACCATAGTCAAATACTTCGAGATGATCCTTCACATAGTCCACTATTTGGTTTATTCCAAGATTGTCCTCCACTTTATATTACAGTAGGAACTGCTGATATATTGGAGGACGACTCGAAACGAGTAGCTGACAAAGCACAACGGGAAGGAATCGATGTAACACTCGATGTTGGAGAACATTTACTACATGTTTATCCATTGTTTTTTCGTTATTTTTGCTGAAGCAAGAAGCGCACTAGACAGTATTCGTCAATGGCTTGAAATAAAGTTTCAGTAAGCAATTAATGAACTCTTGCTTTTCTTACGTAGTTAATGTAATTAACTTTTTTTTCAATGATTTATAAAGATCATAAACAAATGATTGTTCAATATACAGTCATCTAGTAGTGCTTAGTCTCGAAATGATGTCTGCAAAAGCTCTTAAAGTTTAAGTGTGGGAGAAAATTACGTGACAAAGTCTTTGGTAGATACTTTTCAAGTCCATGTACGCCATAGTAGTCAACATTGGCTATTACCCAAATACAGAAAAAAATGAGCAGTGAAATCGCGCGTCGAATCAATAGATCTGCAATTCGAAGCTGGATTCAATGATTTATTTTCTTTCAGAACGTAGATGCATGTCTTATTTCCACTCACATCCAAAAATTAACATTAGTATTTTCAGAATATGACCTAAGATTCGTGTCCCTTGTCATTGAAAACCTATATAGTTAAGTGTTATTAAAAATCATCGAAACCTCAAAAAGCACACTGCAACATACATAAATTATCTTTAGTATTGTCAAAATTTGATTTTTAGAGATGTCTCCTCCACTAGCGCTGTGAACGAACTGCGCAGCTCAATTTTCTTTGCTTTTTTCGAAAAAAAAAACACAGAAGCTTTCCTTTTTCTTTCTCTTTTTGTGGAAGGAAAGTGAAAGTGCTACTTGAATCGCTGAATTCAAATAAAATTGTTTCAATAATTAATGATCAGTTCAGCATAATGTAATCTTCAGTTCTGGAAAAAAGTGAATATATTTTATTTTTAAAATTCTCCATCCAAATCAGGTCTAAACACTATTTGTTAAAAATATTTCATATTCGTGAACAACTTCGCAAGCTTTATATAATCATGTATGATTCACAAAAGCATGACTTTAGCGTCATTTTAAAAATATTAAATCTTTTCATTTCAATTAATCAGTCAATGAGTTCACAAATATAAGCATGAAATTAAAATTGTCAAAAGTAATAAATCAATAGCAGTTAAATGTTCTCAATACTATTCACTGTTTTAATTTCATAATAATAAAATGACTAGTACTAAGAATAGAACAACAAGAAATGTATGCTGGAAACTGAAATACCAATGATGATATTTGATACCAGCAGCTTTAACACGTCGTTCTTCATGCAAACCTTTCAAACGTTCTGGTAGATAGATACCAAAATATTCCGATATCCAATTATGTGTTCTTTCCAATCTTAGACCCATATCGTTGAGATAGATTTCGATTGGTGATAACCAATAATAAAAAAGATAACATCCAGTTCGATTGAATGTTTTATGTATAAATGTACATGTCTCGTCGATTTCTTTGTACATTTCCGTTTCGGATGCAGGTAATTTGAGGCGTCCTAAAAATACTCTGATACCCAATGACTGGCTACTTCGCTCACCATCCAATGTGTTGCACATGATACATAGCCAACAAAGGCCACATTAGGTACTCCAACGGGTATAACACGTCGATACAAATAAAGATCAGTTTCAATATTTGATTGTGTCGATGTTTGCATCGTCGGTAGACCCATTATTTTCGCATCAGTATCAGAAAAGAATGGAAACCTATTGATAAAACCGGTTGCACATATGATCATATCCGCTTGTAAATGTTCACCTGATTTGAGTCGTATGGTTGTTGAATCAATAATTTCGTCGATAGAATCTAATTTCCCTATAATACGACCTTGTTGTTTGAGTTGAATAAAATCTTCTGGTATGACGTATATATTTTCAGCATTAAGAAACGAATTATTCGGTAGAAATATTTTATCATCATATAAATCTGGTCCATTAATAGCGATTATATCAGCAGAAATCTTGTCATTGATGAATTTTAATAAGCGTGAAAATCTACGATGAAAATATAGAAATAGTTTCGAATGAGGTGCACCAGGAAATGGTGGATACATAGCGTAAGAAAGACGTGTAAGGAGATATCGTGCTGGCAATAAACCACCTGCAAATGTGCGTGGTAACATCCAATGAGCACGTCGTAAAACAATGTGACAACTACGAGCGTACGAACCACAAGTTGAAGCTAAATCTGCAGCACATTTACCACCACCAATGATTACGACACGTTTGTCAATAAGTTGTTTATGCGATTTTAAACTATGACCATGAATGATCGTTCCTGTAAATTTTTCTTGGCCACGTATATGTGGCATGTACAGTTCATTGAAAAGACCTGTAGCTATGATGAGAAAATCGAATTCATATATCTCATATTGACCATCGAACTTTTCCACTTTGATTTGCCATGGAATATTTGTATCTTTCAAATTTTTCTTATTTATTTCGATGACACGTGTTCGTAATTTAATACATTCAGTTAGATGACAATGATCTGCGTATTGTTTTAAATAATCATGAATATGTTGCCAGGAAGCAAATTCTAAAATAAAATTTCTATGAATGCAGATTAAAATAACAGTATGTAATCTTTACCTTCGCCATCAAATAGATCAGAAAATTCTATTGTACCTCCAAGTTGTTGACTATGTAAATCGATGTAAGCAGCATCTTCACACCAAATACCACCAATATGTCGTCCCCGTTCGAATATAGTCACATTGAAACCAGCTTTCAAAAGTACGTTGGCAGCTACTAAACCGCTAGGACCTGCTCCAATGATTGCTACCGATTTCGATTCCATCGAACATAAGTTATCTTGTTCAAAAAACAAAAACAAATAAACGACGAAATTCTTCAATTATCAATTCAAGGTCAAATCTGTATCTACAACAAATAGTTTTCTTTTCTTTTTTATTAGTTGTCTAGAACAACAGATGCAATCAATCGTAACACTATGCAAACCTATAGAATGATCATAAAAAAATGGATAAAAAAATCAATCCTCCGATTTGTTTTTTGGTCTAAGAATTTTTTACTTTTGTTTTAAATTTAGCAAATAAGCTAGAAAAATGGTTGCTCAAGTATTTTTGGCATAGAATTGAAGTTTTTTTTGTTCAAATAATGCATTTGTCGATAAAAAACTTATCAAAAGATTTGAATACACAACGACATGGTCCATGCTTGAATTCATTGCAAAGGTACGGGGGTGAAACAAGAACATTCTTAATCTTTGTATGCATTTTATGAAAAGATTATAAGTGAAGGCAAGGATATAACGGGTAGGTCAGAATATATGGTCGCGTTTTGTATTTTATTTCTTCATCATCTAATAAGTTTCATTAGAAAATAAAATATACAACAAGATACAGTGTGAAAAACTCTGCAATCTACAATATAACAAATTTTATTTTATATATGTATCTTTAGTTTTTAAAACAGACAAATTTCTGTGTGACGAATTCTCGACTCTGCGAGCAAGATTATTTATTGGTACACAACAAACTTCTTTTTTTATTTCTTCGATTAATAAGTTTTATCAGAAACCATAATCAATGACTGATTTTTAGAATAATTGATGAAATAAGAAAAGGAATTCGTCGTGTATCAACAAATGATCTTGTTTGCAGAGTCAAAAATAAGTCACACAGAACTTTGTCTATTTTGAAAACTAAAGGTACGTACATAAAATAAGATTTATTATATTGTGTATTGCAGAGCTTTTCACGCTGTATCTTGTGATATATATTGTTTTTTTAATAAAACTTCTTGGATGATGATAGCATAAAACAAAAAAAACGCGACGATTTATTGTAACCTACCCGTTACTAGCTAGAAGATAAAAAAAAATAAATATTGAAGACAAGCAACGATTGAGTAATGACTATTTATCCATGTGATGTGTTCTTTTTTCACAATGACATGCTTCACTGATTCCAAAATCTGATTAAATGATGGTTAAATACTGTAATAAAATGTACGGGATATTTGACTTATCGCTATGAATTGGTAATGCAATCATTTCATGCCTGATTGTATAGGGAAAGATTGACAATTGAAATCATTATTATTTACATTGATGTATGTGTAATTCTTTTTTTTATAAATAAGTAGAAGCATTTTATTTAACAAAGCACTATCAATGAACATGATTTTTCATTTATGTATTCCATCGAAATTTAGTAATATCAGATATCGAAGAAACTCTGATGAGAGATTCTAAGCCTTTGCTACAGAATTATAGACGTTTTAGTGACTCTCCTATAGGTCCGTAGGACAAGTTTAGCGACTCTTATCTTTTTGGATCTTTGAATCAATAGTGCCATCTTATTCCATAAGTTATCAAACATATCCTTCAAAATTAGTCAATAATTATATACATTGATGGAAAAGAAATGTTAGATCTTTCCTTTTTGTTTTGATCTAGATTTAATATATTCATATAAAGAGCTAACTCAACGTTATCAAGCATTTTCTTTTTTATTCACAAAAGAGCAGCGTTTTTTGATAACTCAAAGACATAACCATTTTACAGATTGATTATGAACAATTCCATAAGACATTTAATGCGTTCAAATGAAATGTGTTTGCTAAAATACTTCTTTTTCTCTATTCTAAAGAACGATATAATCAATTTACAACTATGCTTTTCATCACCACGTTTATATATAGAAGGGTGTGGGTGAGTACAAAAAAAAAGCCGCACCCCACACCCTGTCGGAAGAAATTCTTTTTCTTATGGATGTATTTCCTTATATGACATATCTTCATGTTGGTTGTACAAGTTGTAGTGATATTGATTATTCAGACGGATTATTTTCATGAAATGACTAGTGAACATTGACATGATCTTCGTTCGTTTTGTTTTAAGATTTCAATAGCAGACAATCTGATGATGAAAAACTTACGGAAAACGATTCGTTTTGAGGAACCTCTTTCTGATTATACAATTAAGCGCGTACTTGATACTATTCATTTACAATGGAAATAAAACGAGTTGTTTTCCTTCATTATAAATAAATGAAACGATTGAGAAGCAGATATATTTGACAAAAGTGTATTAAGGATAATTATTCATTTATTAAATAACCACTGGTCTCTAACTAAATTCTTGTTAATGTTTGACTATTTTGTCGACAGAGTTCTGTCGATGATGTTTTTAGTTTGTTTTGAAATACGAATGCTTCGTATTTGCTGGTCTTTTGACTAAGTTTTGTGACATTTGAATTCATTATTGTAAAATGTTGATGGTGAAATATAAAGTTTGTATGAAAAACATTTTGGTAAATAAGTAAAAAAATAGGAATCAATGAGAAGATAACGTTGCCAGTTGACTTGAAATTCTTGACAAGTGAGAGCAAATGAGAGAATAAATTGAGGATTCCCCTGAATAATATCGAAAATAAAAATGTACAAAACGGCATTTAATGTGGATATGCCAGATAGCTGGAGAAAAGTAATTTATGACCACATTTACACACATCCTCATTTACACCCACACTCATATTCGCATCCTCACCCATAACCTCACCCACACCCTCACACACATCCTCACTCTCATCCTCACTACATCCTCACTCGTACTCACATTGTCGTTCGAAATTTTTATTCTCTGTATTTTTATTTTCGATATTATTCAGGGTTACCAAATTGAATTAAAGAGAAGAGTTGTGGGAGCATAGTAACTAAAGGAGCCAAGATTAATTCTTTATTTTCATTCAAGAGATCAATGTATGAATAAAATGTTGATGTCATGTATGTGGTTGAACTTCTACTATTACTCATTTTTATTACAACCATATCACGTTTTCGAATAATGAGAATCATTAAAATGATAGTCGATAACAGATTAATAAAAAAAGGTAGGGAATAGCTTAAAATAATATGAACTTGATTATATTTCTCGATATCCGCTAGGATTCTTTGTTTTTTATGTCTATTTCATAGCTATTTAAAAATGTTTTCGTCTTGCATCTAATCTTCGCATCATACTGATGAGAAAAGAATAGAATAGCGTTCGACGACGGTCAGTCGCGAAGGAGACGCAGAAATATTTTGTTCTCTTCTTCACTCTTTCATATACAACATCATACTACCCCGAACAAACACGCCATTTTTCTTCTTGTACTAGCAATGACAGAAAAACATACATGTCACAATTACGCAGCAGAAAATGCAGAGCACTTCTCGCAACGTGCGCATAGCTGTCGAACTGAACTGACCGTAGAATTGGCAAGACGATGTGCTACAAGTATTCTCAAAATATATCCATTCGATGTGAACACAACAGAAGTGTTCGATTTCGCTTGTGGACCTGGTCTTGTTGCCTTCGAACTTTTGCCACATGCCAAACGGATAGTGGGCGTTGATTCAGCACAAGGCATGGTCGATGTTTTTAATCAAAATGTAAGAGTTCAATTGACTTAAGTGCCGTATTCAGTCTAAAATAAGAATTTGATGANAATGAAATCAGTTTAAAAAAATCATATTGTAGACAAAATATTAGTGTAGAATCATGCTAAAAGATAACTTTTATATAGAGCAGTCATTTCGACACAGAGCAGGACATTTCATATTTCAATAACAAGGATTCCACAAACCATAGAATTCTTTAGATAGACATTACTTATATTATCCGAACATACTGAACCACAGTTATCGAACTGAAATTTAACCGAGAAAACTGACATCATACAGTACATGGGACGAACCCCACTCGTTTTGCCGGACAACTCGCTCTGCAAATACTGCTAATTGATAGAGAATAACATTCAGCATCTAACAAACTTGTTTACAACGTCAACACAGGTCCAGAGGCGATTCCTGGGAAGGTTTACTCCCGAAAACGTGTATATCACCTAGTATTTGATCCAAAACCCAACTTTTTGCCCGATAAGCCCTATCAAAAAGAGTACTAATCGACAGAGAATAAAACTCGGCGCCTAACCCAAGTGGCTAGAAACCCAACACAGATTCAGAGGAGAATCTGGACTGGAATTACTCGACTCCGGTACTAACTTTACCTACGTAGTGTATGTTTGTAATAGTACTTACACGAGTAGAGTGATGGATTAGCGTAATAAACATTATTACTGACGGTAGCAGTAGAGTTACACATTTAGTTCGTTAAAAGTAGACTTATCACTAGCGACCTCTACAACAGCTTAGCAATGGGCCAAATGAAACAAAGTATCATCCAAATATACGCGTGAGCTAACAATTGAACAGTTGATTGTTGGTACAACCAGTGAATGTGGATGTGGATGTAAAGATAACATTCGCAAACGCACATTCAAACATACGTTCACACCCACAGCAACACTCACATGTCTTGATATATGACTCTGACTGAGTGTGAGTACGAGGCTTAGCTTCACTCACACACTCGAATTAACATCAATATTTTTCAAACCTGACCACAGGTTTGTATTCCTTATCGCTAAAAACATAGTCAAGGATTATCAAAAGTCACCAAAACGTCGAAAGAAGACCGGAACATATATAAATCATCTTCAAAAGTTTCGCAACTTCATCTTCACAGATAGCTTCCTGATTGTTAAAAAAGAAGCTCCTTAATCAATTTTTTTATACTCATTTACAACCAATGCTAAAAGTAAAAGTTATGAACGAACTAATCGATTCAAGTTACTTGAGTTTTTTCGAAAAAAAACCTTAATTTTGATTGAGATAATACAAAAATGATAGCTATAGTCAATTCAGCACGAAAAACGAAACCTTTTTTTGCAAGGAATGAGAAAGTGCCATTCGAATGGCTGAATTCGAATAAAATTGTTTCAACAATGAATGATCAGTTCAGAATAGTGAAATCGTCAGTTTTTGAAAAAAATATACATGAGAAGTTCTTCACTCTAATCACAGTCTAAAAAATATTTTTTTTAAACATTATATGTTCGTGAATAACCTTGCAAGATTTGCAGAAACAAATGTGATTCAAAGGAATATAGCTTTTGCGACGTGCGTGTTTTTTAATATCGAATATTTTCGTTGCAACTAATCAGTCAAGGAGTTCGCACATGTAAAGACGAAATTGAAATTGACAAGAGTAATAAAATTAATAGCACTCAAATGTTCTCACATACAACGCACTGTTTCAATTTCATAATAATAAAATAATAAATAATAAGAGTAGAAAAACAAGAATCGTATGTTGAAAACCGAAATACCAATGATGATATATGATACCAGCAGCTTTAGCACGCCGTTCTTCGTGCAAACCTTTGAGTCGTTCTGGTCGATAGATACCAAAATATTCTGTTATCCAATTATGTGTTCTTTTTAATCTTAGACCCATATCACTAAGATAGATTTCGATTGGTGATAACCAGTAATAAAAAAAATAACATCCAGTTCGATTGAATGTTTTATGTATAAATGTACATGTCTCATCAATTTCTTTGTACATTTCTCTTTCAGATATAGGTAATTTAAGTCGCCCTAGAAAATATTCTGATACCCAATGGCTGGCTACTTCGGCCACCGACCACTGGGCTATACATATTACATAGCCAATAAAAGCCACATTGGGTATTCCAACAGGTATGATACGTCGATACAAATTAAGATCAGTTTCAATATTTGAATTTGTCGAAGTTTGTGTCGTCAGTAGGCCCATTGTTTTGGCATCCGTATCGGAAAAAAATGGGAATCGATTGATGAAACCAGTTGCACATATGATCATATCTGCTTGTAAATGCTCACCTGATTTGAGTCGTATTGTTGTTGAATCAATAATTTCATCGATCGAATCCAATTTTGCTATAATACGACCTTGTTTTTTGAGTCGAATAAAATTCTGTGGTATCATGTATATATTTTCAACATTACGAAATGAATTATTCGGTAGAAATACTTTATCCTCATATAAATCTGATCCATTTATAGCAATTATATCATCAGCAATCTTGTCTGTGATGAATGTAAATAAGCGCGGAAGTGTACCATGCAAATATTGAAATAATTTCGAATGAGGTGCACCTGGAAATGGCTGATACGGAGCTTGAGCAAGACGTGTCAATATACATCGTGCAGGCAATAAACCGCCTACCATTGTGTGTGGTAGCATCCAGTGAGCACGCCGTAAAATAATGTGACAACTACGAGCATATGAACCGCAAGTTGAAGCCAGATCTACTGCACATTTGCCACCACCAATGATCACGACACGTTTGTCGATAAGTTGTTCGTGTGATTTTAAACTATGACCATGAATAATCGTTCCAGTAAATTTTTCTTGACCACGTATATATGGCATGTATGGTTCATTGAAAAGACTAGTAGCTACGATAAGAAAACCAAATTCATATATTTCATATTGACCATCGAATTTTTCAACTTTGATTTGCCATGGAATATTTCCATCTTTCAAATTTTTCTTTTTTACTTCGATGACACGTGTTTGAAATTTAATACGTTCAGTTAGATGACATTGATCTGCATATCGTTTTAAATAATCATGTATATGTTGCCAAGAAGCAAATTCTAAAATAAAATCTCTATACAGATCAGAATAGAAACATTTAATCTTTACCTTCGCCATCAAATAGATCAGAAAATTCTATTGTACCTCCGAATTGTTGACTATGCAAATTGATGTAAACATTGTCTTCACACCACATACCACCAATATATCGTCCACGTTCGAAAATCGTCACATTGAAACCATCTTTCAAAAGTACGTTGGCGGCTACTAAACCACTAGGACCTGCTCCAATGATGGCTACTGATTTTGATTCCATTGAACATAAATTATGTTGTTCAAAATAGCAAAAACAAAACAAACGACGAAATCGTTCAATAATCAAGTCAAGGTCAAATGTGTATCTACAACAAATAACTTTCTTTCATTCTCCATTACTTTTGTAAAAAAAAACAGACGCAATCAACCATCACAATGTACAAATCGATAAAATGATTATGAAAAAGAAATAAAAAATCAATCCTCTACTTTGATTTTTTATTTATGATTTTTTATTCTTATTTTAAATTTAGTAGATACACTCGTTAGGGGTAATTCGGATCAAAAATTAGAAAATCGATTTTGTTTTTATTCGCTCTCAATCATTGTACGTCGTAACAAGGTGATTTTTGGAGTGCTACTAGAACAAACTGTTTTC